TTATAGTGGTAGTTTTGGATTTTTTCCATTAAAAAACCTAGATACTAGGTCTCAAAGAGTAAGCCAACTTTGAGCTGAGACGTAAAGCCATAAGGCCAAACTCGGTTTGGCAAAACATCATGTGTATGTGTGTCTCACCCTACTCTTATCTATTGTGTGTTTGCTTCTGTACAAGAACATTACCTTAAAGGTTGAAGCCGACTCGATAAGTGTCAAAGCCCATCTCGTGATATATTTGGGCTCTATCAACGAGTCAAGTCCAACACTCTAGTCTAGGCGATCGTTTCTTTATTACTCGTGTTTATTTATCTTATTTTGTAAGATTATTTGTTTGCAATACATATCCTATAGACCCGACCTTAAAGGTTAATTGTAGCGATAAATACAACCGGATAGATCGGAACCAATAGGACAATTTACAATTCTTTTGTTCATCCTCGTTGTTGTTACCCTTGAAATTGCTCTGTAATAAAATATCATGTGAGAATATTCAAGATTGCACAACAGAAACTTTGATCCCGAAGGAGGTGGTGTTGAACATCTCAACAGTGAAAACTACGTAAATGACCATCTATTTATTTCGTGTTCTGTTCCGTCCCTATATTTGCGCTTTATTTGTAATGGCCTTCAAACCGTACGTGGACTTCAAAGTTCAAACCTTATGGCCATATTTCTATATAGGGTCTATATATAAAATACAGACTGATTATCAAAAAGTAAAATGGGTGGGCTTACCGCTGGGTTGATAATTCAGGCCCAATAAGTACAGGCCTTTATTACAAACCGAACTTTGAGGAGTGCATCTCTTCCCCTTCGATCAAAGAGTGTTTTCCCTTTCCAACACCTTCGTCGTCTTCTAAACCTATTAGCCGTTCTACCGTAGAAATCTGGGTGAAACTAAAGTAATTTCAGGCTGTAATTAACGTGTATCTACAATCTGGTAAAATCGTCATTCCGAAACTACTCTTTGTTTTCTAAACGCAAATTGATACAATCCTTCTCATCCTCTGCCTACTCTGTTCTTACACAGAAAGCAGAATTAAGCCAGAGACAAGATCGTGACGATAGTAAACCTAAAATCTTACCCATCAGAGAACCCATTCTAAACCTCTTCTCTATAATAAGGAGTTTTTTCTATTTTCCCTCTCCTCCGACCTAAAAATCAATTCACCAGGCCGGTTCATCATCTCGCCGGCAAATGTCAAATGCAAACCCATAACAGAGACAATGTAGTATATATACATTTATTTGCAAACTAACAAGAAAACTTCCGGTTCATCGTTAAAACTTAAAACCCAGCATAACTTAACTTATATTTGGAATGGAAATATGAGATTGTTGGGTGAAATCGACAAACAAATTACCAGCAAAACTTCCCTCCTCCCGGCAGAGCTGTGGCGGCGGCGATGACCAAACTACTTACCGCTCGGCTTGGCTTCCTCCAGTTTCATCTTCTCCATCTTCGCCATCATTTCTCCGAACTTCTTCTGCGTCTCCTGGAGCTCTCTCTGGCAGAGCCGATGCTGGACAAGGAGCTTCCTGTTTCCCTCTTCAGCTTGCATCCTCTCCTTCGCCATCACATTCATCTTCTCCATCTTCACCATCATTTCTCCGAACTTCTTCTGCGTCTCCTGGAACTCTCTCTGGCAGAGCCGATGCTGGACAAGGAGCTTCCTGTTTTCCTCTTCAGCTTCTCTCCTCTCCTCCGCCATCACATCCCTAACGTCTTGAACACCCGCATAGCGGTGTTTGAGCAGTTTTTCGTCCAATTCAGCAGCTGTGATAGGAGGGATTTCAGTCTTCTTTTTCATTTTCTCTTCGCAGAATGCTAGATAGGAAACAAGCGACGCCCCAAAAAAGAAGGCGGTCATAGCTTTCCCAACCATTGGATCGGGTTGCTCTTGTTTCAGCTTTTCCAGAATGGTTTTAGAGATTTGATCCGCCAGCTGTTCCCCCTCCCGTTTCAATCGGTGAACCAGCCGAGATCCTCTGGGCGCCATTGTTAGAGCAGAGAGGAGAATGCCGGACAGACGGGAACAGAGCACAGAGCAAGCAAATAGAATTTCAGAGAAACTTAGGTATAAAAGAAGAAAGAGGAGGAGGGCATGGGCTAATGAATATGTGGCATGTGGCAGATTATTTAAGAAGAAGAGAAAGAAAAAAAAATTGTCTGCGCAGAGTGTAACCGTTTTCTGTTCCGTACACAATTTTGTCCTACCTCTCTTTTTTTTGACGAATAATTTTGTCCTACCTCTAACCTCCCTCTCCCAATCTCTTTTTTCTCCATTTTTCAATTCACTATTCTCCTAAATAGTAATTGCAAATGTGCCCCAAGTCTCAAACCATTTTTTGACAATTCGTCTCAAACCATTCAAATGAAGTTAAGAAGAAAAATGTAATCAATTGGAATTATTTCCCAAGTAAACATAAATAAAAAAAACCCCTGAAAACTCTTAGGAAAAGAAAAGTTACTAGAATACATTAAATATGTTTGATATATAGTATACACACTTGTACATACATTAGATATACCTCGACGAACCAAGACTACCAGTTGTTATTTTTAACTTAAATGAATCTCATAGTTTGATTTTGTAAAATAAGGTATTAGGGTTCACTTATTAGAGGTTATAGTGTAATATTATGCCTTGAACTCCGGTTAAACATGCTAAAATAGCAAAAATAGCTGGGTGTATGCTAGCTTGAACAATATAAATATGAAATGATCAGCATACTCTTGGAGTATAATACATACTCGAAGTGTTCTGATCGTTGGATGTACTTATTCGTATATTCAATGAATCAAAATGATCAATTATTATTTTTGTTAATTTGATCTTCGAATTTGGATTCAGAGAATCGGGATATGTAGTTAGCTATTGTATGTTAGGGTACAGTAACATATTATATACCTCAAACACGATTTAATTCATGATTTAGATAGAGATATCTCACTAGAAGTACCTAGAGTATCGTTTACTTCGAGAGTATAACATTTCAAATCATATTATATTTACCAACGTTGTCAAACCGGTTTATACTGTTGTGCCGGTTTAGCAAGTGGAATGGTTCTACCGATGGTAAAATCGGTTGTGCCGGTTCATGCTGGTTAATAAAATATGTAGAAATGTCAAAAACCATTAATGTCAAATGATTTTAATCATATATAAACCATATTTGTAGACAATATACGTACAATTTATATTGATATTTAAATAAAATATGATATTTTCAATAAAATTACATGTACTTATATTTAAATCTACTAAAATGATATCATTTTATTTTAAAATTTGCAGATCGATCATGCCGGTCATACCGGTGGTGTCATGCCGGTTTCATGACCAGAACTTGTTGAACCAGGTTCAACTGGTGGCATGCCGGCCGGCATGACAACCATGATATGTACGGTAATTGGTGTACTTCTATAATATACCAAAGTCCAAGTGATTTAACCATTATACTTGGTTATGATTTCACAAATCAAAAACGTCCATTATAATTTTTTACTCAATTGATATTCGGTTAACGTTTAGTAAAGTTGGACATAAATTTTAGCCATGAAAAAAGATGGTATAATATCATATTCAAAACTCGATTTAACATAATTTAAATAGAGATATCTTAATACAAGTAGTCGAAGTAAACCATATACTCTAGAAATATACTATACAAGTCTAACTCCTATATGTATATGTACAACACATACTAAATTATTTATTTTATAAATATTGTAAAGCGTAGTCAGCTGTTTTAATTTAGGATTTTTGTTTCTCTTATCCTACCTTCCTACGAAGAGTTGGGATTCCAACTCTAAAAGAGAGGAAGAAGGAGAGAGAGATCGAGAGTGGGAGGCCAGGAGAGAAAATTGTTGGCAATTCTATTCCGTTACCGTTAGCAATTATATTTTGCAGTGAAAGAGTCTGTTCTTAGTAGAATTTAATAAAATAAAAAGGCAACCAATTATACATTGCCAGGTGGACATGTTGCAAGACTCCCTTACAACCCGATTTGCACGCAAATATCATCCTGTACACAATAAGAACAAAAGAGTACACTGAGAATTCCTACTCTCCTTCACACCCAACCCAAGCGAGGGTCTTGGACACCTATAGTTCATAGGGATCAAAGAACTTACACCCAACTCCGACCCATATGAACTGTAAAATGGTCATCCCTAATAATCCATGTTCCACTCATAATTGCCCTCTCGTAATCAAAACCACTCGTTCTTCGCATATGTGATTAGAATACTCTTGTCTTTGCCAATAGAAAGTTTAGTCGTTGTATAAAGAACTTAAAAGCGATTGTATGCCCTAGTAACTTCATAACGAGGGCCGATTGCCATTCAAGGGAAGGGAGCATTTTCATCCCTTGGCTGCTTTGTACAAAATGGGAGTGTGACTCATATGTATGATAGTAACTAACCACTTATGTAGGCTATTTGTAGAAGTAAAAAGTAAAAATTCCAAATGGGGTGAAATTTAATAGCGGCCCGGTATCATTAACTGATGAACGGAGCGGATAGTTACAAACAAACAAAATGCTTTGGTGGCCTCCGTACGGGGAGCAATCCCGAGGGCATTTGTGTCCGTAGTCCAATCCTCTCTCTCTTTCTTATTTGTTTTTATTTTATTAAACCAAAATAATTGAAATTGAGTTTTTGTCTCCTACTCCAGTCTCCAAGTCCAAGTACACAGCACAGGCATATAACGTACCGTACGATTTTGTTTTGTAAATTTGTTGTTTGGTGGATTTTATTCCCAAGCCCAGCCCAGTCAGAGCCTCCTTGTTTGTTTGTAACTATCCGCTCCGTTCATCATTTAATTATTAGCATCGCCGGGGAGGGGGAGATCATATCTTCCTGCCTTCTAGCTCGCGTCGCGAAATGACGGAAACACCCTCCACATCTATACACTACCACCCGGCAGAGAAGGGGGCCGTACCAAGGGCATTTGTGTCCCACAACACGAGTTATGAATTATGATAGTAACTAACTACTTATGCATTATAAACGACGTTTCCACATAATAGCAGTAACTTCAATTGCATTGGATTGTGAAAATGGTGGGGTGACGTGGTTTTACTGACCACACTATAATTCCACTTCAACAGTGAGTCACACACAACCATCACTAACAACAAGTCATTCTTCATATACAGCCCTCAAAATCAATGGCTAGAACGGGTTGCATATAATGATATGATAATCTCTCCCATCATGTCTAACTTCCACCTAAAGAGTAAAGACTAGTCTGTGTCTGATCACCAAAACTGCCGATTTAAGATTCGTCTATTCGCGGTCACAACTCGTCTTTGCTCCCGGAATCCTCACCCATCAACTCTTCGAGCGAGAACTCGTCTTCTTCCACGATCTCCCCGTCTTTACCATCCCATGGCTCGGTGTTCACGATCTCTGGTGTTCCTTCCAGTGGCAGGTTTCCTTTTCCACCGCGCCCTGCTTCCTTAACGAACTCTCTACGAAAACCAAGAAAGATTTTTGTTGAGATTATCATTGTTGGTCATGCTAAGGGATCTGGGCAATGAAACTTAGAAGTCACCTGATGTATTCCAGCTCGTAGGCACTTTTAAGCGGGGCGTAGACTCCTTTCTTCACGTTCAAGGCAACCAGAGCTGGATACCCATACCCACCTACACCAACGCTGTTCTCAAGATTTGGTTGCTTGCCAGCAGCAGCCCAGACATAGCTGCAGGGATTTATCGACAACAATTAGTACACAGATGGCTGATTAGAAAGATTTGAGCTTCTGCTTGTTTTGGCTAAGTAACTTACAAATAAAGTTTGACCTAAAAGCTCAAACAACCACATCAGTCAATCTAACTCTTTAAAACAACTATTCAGCCAAAGTGTTTAAAGCTGGAAGCAAGTACTTCACTAGTAATAGTTCATTTCCTGTGTTGCCTATTTGGTTTAAGAATATTTTCTTTAAGCTATGACCATAATCAAAGCTACTAATTTAATTTCAGGAAAGGATAAATGAAGGTAAGACTGCTTGCCTGTAGGGGCTTCTTCTGAACTTCTCTGCAACTGATAATAATTGGTCGAGATACTTGTTCCTGCCTTCTGCCTTGGAGTCTAAGATATCAGGCAAGAATGACACGAAACAGATGGCAGCTGAACCACACTTCTCCTCCATGACGTCCTGTGCAAGAATTTTGTGGTAAAATACAAGGAGTTAATGGGGGGTTAAGGAGTAAAGCCTTTCCAGATAGTCAAAGCGCATACCGGGCCAGTCAACTCAGTTACTTCAGGAGGTGCAACATTTGTTTCCAGCTGCTCCAGCGCGAATGACTCTATAGCTGAGGCTGTTCTAGCACCCTCGTATGGCATTGGGCTGTCTTTGTCGGCACCAAATACCTTGATTGTTGGAAATCCTTGAATATTAAATCTGCTCATGAAAGACTGGGAAAGGACAAAGTACTGTATTAGCATAGTCATATATGTGGAACTATACACTTCAGCAAAGAAAGCACCAGCAAACAATCACATGTACAAGGAAAAATGAATAACTACAATTCTCTTTTTGATGTGCTTAACTACATTACTATCCGAACACAATTGGCATAATCATAGATGTGGAATTATATCCTTCTGCTAAGAAAGCACCAGCAAACAATCACATCAGTAAGGAAAAATGAATAACTACAATTCTCTATTTTATGTGCTTAGCTACATTACTCTCCAGACACAATAGGTCATATCATGGTCAAGCAATAAACATGTTCAGGTAGATATTAAACAGAGATATGACACCTAGGAGCACATAATACATGTTTGTTTCATTTCTCAAGTTGTGTATATGGAGCAGTTCATCACTCAATACACAACTGAAAAAGAATGGCGAGTTGTTCAGAAAAATATAGAACATAGGATCAACTTTACCTTCTCTGAGTCGCAGTCAACATGACCCAGTTTCACCTTCCCCTTCAAATTACTAGCTGCCTTCTTCCACTCAGGAGCCAATTTTTTACAGTGTCCACACCTTGAACAGGACCAGAAAATGATACTCAAAACCATATCACAAAATGAAGAGCTCAAGAAAGCCACATTGTTTGCATAATGCAGTTAGTTGCCTGGTGCTTACTTATTTGGTGTTAGAATACAAACTAAATAGATAAGTCCGAGGCATGCAATCTCAACAGATTTCACATAGAAGATTAGGCACCATGTTCGTAATAGGAAAACCAAAAACACAACATACATTTCAAGCAGACATGACATAGAATGCAGCAGAATCTCTAAAATACATACCAAGGAGCGAAAAATTCCACAATCCAGAGGTCTTTACTTTTCATCACCAACTCATCAAAGTTGCGAGCGTTCAACTCTACTGAGGCATTTGGTTCAGATTTTTCACTAGAACCACTGGTTGATTTTCCATGCAACCGATCCTTGAGAAGCGCCTTTATCTGTACAAGAGTGGATGGTGAGACTAAGAACATTATGTGTGGGTATAAACCTTTGCAGAGAACAACAATGGATCATATCAAACCTGTTGGAGCCCAAACTCCACAATGGGTTTGGCCTCCCTAGCTCCTTGGTAGTTAACAGGTGGCTTGCCAGGAGAAAACACTTTTATTGTTGGAAAACCTTGAATTCCATATTCCTGCAGATACCAAATTATCAATCATTAAACACTCACCAGAACAACCAGATCGGAACACATTCTTTTCTGGACCCACAAGAACTTTCTCAGCAACACGCACAAAATGAGTCCAATATGCATCAATTGGAATAACAATGAACCTGAGCAAGACCCTTTGTGTTCGTCAGCATTAACAGCTGCCACGGTGGCCACACCTTTCAAGACTGTGGCAGCTTTCTCCCATGCTGGTGTAAGAGCTTGACAATGGCCACACCAAGGGGCGTAGAACTCAACCAGGACAACTCCATTGGAGTTTAGAACCTGAATTTCATAGCCTCGGTTAGTTTTAAAGTCAATGATATGATCCAACCACAAAGCCACAACCTCTACACAACATAACTTCAAAAGTTCGCATGAAAATCAGCCTGTAACCTACAAAGCAACCTGTTTTCTGCAAGAGCAGCATAATTTAGCTATAGATAGAATAACCCATTACTCAACAACACAATGCTCAAATCCAGAATCCAGGCAGTGCTATATATTCACTCTCGAATTCGGAATCACCAAAATTTTACGATAATTCTCCTATAGCCATAGCAAAGCTTCAATGAACTCATGACAAATAGCATCAACCACTTCCACACCTCTACAATTGACAATAATAAAACCTACATATTATGAACATTCAAAATGGAAAGAAAATAAATGCGTCGACAGAGCCTTACAAGCCCAATGTGGTCAACAAGATCGCAGTCATGGTAATTCAATCCGAAAGTTCGGATTAAGGCGGAAGATCGCCCTTCTTTACATTTCCACTTACTTCTTTCCTCTACGCATTTCCATTATCCGTGAGACCAAAAAGGGAAGGGGGAAAAACTGAGCTACGGCGTTAGTTTCAGTTCATCAGGTCTGTTTACCTTGGACTTGAAGTTGGAAGGAGTGAGGTGAACTACTGGAGTAGACGCACTGTAGAGTGCAGAGCAGAGCTTGGATGCGAAGAAAAACAACGAAACCGCAGCAAGGATTGGCAGCGACAGCGATCGGGAAGAGACGACTGAGGAGAAAAAAACGAGGAATTATTGTGTACTCCGGGAGTACCAGCTAAGCATGCTGATTTGGTACTCCCGACCAATCCTAATTCGCCACCTGTCACGTATAATTTATTTATTTATTACTAAAGACTGTTTTATTGGAATTTTAATTTCCTTTAATAAAAAACTAATAAGAATAAATAAATCACATCGCTGCCACTTCGTCTTCCCAAATGCCACAGAACCCGTCCCTCCACAACCCCGACTAGCAGCCGGCGTCTTCAATTCTCGGAAGCCCCAATGTCCCCAATCAACTAACCCTCCACCATTTTTTAAGCCACGTAATCATTTTCTACTTTTATAGATCTCTGCTTTCAAAAGAAGAAATAAAGGACGATTGTTGACGGAATAGAGGTGATCACCCATTAATTTTTAAGACCATAGTTCCTAATTTTTTCAACTTATTCATTTTCCTACGTTTTCCGAATGAATCCTAGAGATCCAGTTCTATCAGTTCATGTTCTGGGGATAAAGAAAAAGAAACTCAAAAGCTTCGTCGTCACTGGAGTTGGGTTGGGAATTGTGACCGATCAAGCGATCATCATCGTGCTCGACAGTGGACCAAATCCTTCCCGGCGGTGGCTTCTTGGCAGATGGATTAACGGGATAGCTGGTTTGGATTAGAAATTCAATTAACGGGGAAGAATTTGGTCCAGTGTAATGGAGTCTTGATCTGGGAGAACGAAGGAGGAGGAAGAGTCACCAAAATAGGAACTGTTGCTCTGAACCGGAGAAAACGAAGGAGTCTACTCGCCGGACTACGAGAAAAATCGAAGTAGTAGGAAAGAGGGACTTTAATTTATGGTAATTCACGGAAAAACAAATTAAAAATTTAAATGAAAAGTTTACAGCCGTAAATGAATTGATAAAATTTAATGACATGTGGCGAATATTTATTGGCCGGGAGTACCACATCACCAATCCCACGTGGTACTCCCGGTGTAGCCAATAATCTCTCGAAAAAAACTTGGAAAACCCCTCCGCTGCGAGCGAACTACGTGTGTAACCAATAACAGGTTGCCACGTCATCATCTCCCCGACGCCCAGTCTGAATTCTGACAACATATAATATAATTACCCGGCCCATTGGCCAGAATATTCATATTACTAGCTTATAACCCGTCCATTGGCCGGAATATTCATATTTAATTATCTATATTTTTATGCTATGTTTAAGCTAATCAACCGATTCAATTTTATTGACAATCCTTCAATCGAGATGATATATAAAGAAAGAATATATAGGTCTAAAATTAGGAGAAATATCATCATTATTTAAGGATATAAAATGTATCATCAATTTCATTTTCATAATGATAATTAACCCCTCGTTAAAATGCTATTGGTTAGTTGATTGTCAAGAAAGAGGGTATAAAAGCTCAGAGAAATTCCACACGACCCATAAATAGTTTGAAACTAAATCTTAAACATCACAATCTTACATAAGGGTTTAATGCGCTCCTTTTATGAACAATATGTCACTAATCAAAAAGAAATGGAGAGTTGTTGATTCTAGTCAACTATATAATAACAACTCAGCTAAGAGGGGACCATCAAAACTTAAGAGCAAACGACAAAATTAGGGTTATCTCCAACATACTAATAGACTCAATCAAAGTAATAAGGCACAAAATTAGACACTCCCTGTCTATCAGTTCCAGTAGGTTGAATAAAGAATCGACCTACTCCATTATTTATTAAACTCTTTTACTTGCCCAACTTAAATCCCCAACAATAAAACCGACGTGCCAAGAGATACCGGATGATTGATTTTCAAAGGCGGCCTTGTACTGGGAAGTGAAAGGGGCGCAAACTATTGTACGATGGAGGGAATTTTTGAGAAAGTTAGAAAGAGATAAGAACAAAGATAAAAATCACAAATTTTAAATTGAAAAATGCAAGGACACAACACATAGTGACAAAATTAGTTTTTTTCATGGTAGCCCATTACCAATTTACCTTTAGCAAAAATTAGGAGAGAGAAAGAATTTTAAAATTGAGAAAGTACGTGAAACTCTACAATGAAATTTGAAGTATTACGAACCATAAAAATACATACGGTATACTTAGTGGGCTTGCTAATCATGATGGAAAGTCTTGCGATTTTCAGAGAGTTGAACTTCGTTTATATTTCGTATTCAAAAGAGACAACAAATTTGTTTAGTGTAAATGGTTGTGAATTGTGATTGTTGACTTTGTTTGAAGAGACTCAAGTTCAAATCCTTATGTTGATATTTTTTATGTGAGATAAATAATTAATTGTAAAGACAAAAATGTCCTTCCTACTTTCACTCTCGTTGCAGAAAATTTGAAATGGAGAAAAGTACACAAAAGTATATTATTGGGGGATTTATATTTTTATGTTATGTTTAAGCTAATCAATCTGTTTAATTTTATTAACAATCCTTCAATCGAGATGATACATAAAGAAAGAATATATAGGTATAACATTAGGAGAAATACCATCATCATTTAAGAATATAAAATATAAAATTTATCATTAATTCCATTTTCATAATGATAATTAAGCCCTCGTTAAAATGCTATTGGTTAGTTGATTCTCAAGAAAGAGGGTATAAAAGCTTAATGAAATTCCACACGACCCATAGATAGTTTGAAACTAAATCTTAAAACTCACAATCCTATATAAGGGTTTAATGCGCTTATTTTATGAACAATATGTCACTAATCAAAAAGAAATAGAGAGTTGTTGATTCAAGTCAACTATATACTAACAACCCAGCTAAGATGGGGACCATCAAAACTTGAGAGCAAATGACAAAATTAGGGTTATCTCCAACATACTAATAGACTCAATCAAAGTAATAAGGCACAAAATTAAACACTCTTTGTCTATCAGTTCCAGTAGGTTGAATAAAGAATCGACCTACTTCAGTAAATAAATCAATGATTCCTCGTTTTGAGATAAAAATAGGTTGTGATAGATGTAAAAACCATAAATATAAAGATCCAATAGCCACCACTCTTCGTTGTACAACCAAATTTTTATCTCAAGAGACATATGTTTTAACCAAAAATTCAATTTCTAATCCTCCTTCTGCAACTCCATTTTTTATTAAACTCTTTTACTGGCTCAACTTAAATCCCCAACAATAAAACCAACGTGCCAAGAGATACCGGATGATTGATATTCAAAGGCGGCCTTGTACTGGGAAGTGAAAGGGGCGCAAACTATTGTACGATGGAGGGAATTTTCGAGGAAGTTAGAAAGAGATAAGAACAAAGATAAAAATCAGAAAATTTAAATTGAAAAATGCAAGGACACAACACTTAGGACAAAATTAGTTTTTTCCATGTTAGTCAATTACCAATTTACCTTTAGCAAATATTAAGGAGAGAGAAAGAATTTTAAAATTGAAAAAGTACATGAAACTCTACAATGAAAATTGAAGTATTAAGCACCATAAAAATAAATATGATATACTTAGTGGGCTTGCTAATCATGATGGAAAGTCTTGCGATTTTCAGATAGTTAAACTTCGTGTATATTTTGTATTCAAAAAGACACAACAAATTTGTTTAGTGTAAATGGTTGTGATTCTTGTCTTTGTTTGAAGAGACCCGGGTTCAAATCCTGATGTTGATACTTTTTATGTGAGATAATTAATTAATTTTAAAGACAAAAATGTCCTTCCTACTTTCACTCTCGTTGGAGGAAATTTGAAATGGAAAAAGTACACAGAAGTTTGAAGAGACCCGGGTTCAAATCCTGATGTTGATACTTTTTATGTGAGATAATTAATTAATTGTAAAGACAAAAATGTCCTTCCTACTTTCACTCTCGTTGGAGGAAATTTGAAAATAAAAAAAAGTACACAGAAGTGTACTATATATTATTGGGGATTCTTGCACGACTTAATACAATATATTAGGCAGAACTGTTAAGCAACGGGAATAATAACCACAACTAGCTTATAACCCGACCCGTTGGTCGGGGTAGTTCTATCCATAAATTTTTCATTCCCTTACACCAAAAGAGTATCGTCTACAATTATCATGATTCTAATAAATAAGAAATTATTGTATCAATCTAAACAATCTCTAAGTCAGTGGTTACCTCAATAATCTTAGCGAATCTATCTCTTCCAATCTAGTCCCGAGCTTTTAATTCGGCTGAGTTCATATCACATGTAAAGAGTCTGAATTCTATATAGTCTTAATCGATTGCTTGTGATTGACAAATAATTTGTCTACTAATCTAAGTCTTAATCTCAGTCTTGCTTGTATTGTCGTCAATCATTTTTTCGTCTTTAGTCCCACCTACCATATGTATACCTCTCTCTGATGAAAGTGAAATAATCCAAATCAACACTGATAATTCCTCTGTCTAATTAAATTAAACTTAAATTGTGTAATATTTTCAAAATAAAAGAGCAACGCATTTAAAAAATGACATTGTTAAAATCTCATGAGTTTCTTTTTCCCAAAGTCATTAAAATGAATGTTCTGTGACAAAGAATGTGACATAAGCTCCTTTTTTTAAGAAGTGTGGGCTTGTGTTGTTGTGCAGCAATAGGGCTTAAGTAGCATGGTTTTGTAGACGGACCACTATATCAGTTGTTGAAACAAACATCACAATTGGAAATAAGAGAATTGAGCCATAAGAGGAAAGAAGCAATTCAGGATTTGGTATAAATTGAGGTAATACCTCAATTAGGAATTAAACGAAGGTTAAATGCCTGATTGGCAAACTAAACCGGTGGAACCTAGTGATCTTTTAAGAAAAAATCAATGATCACATGATTTCTTGGCCCAAACTCCAAACTACTAAAGGGGGCAAAAAGTAAAGAAAAGAAAAATAATCTTCAAAGAGACCGTACAGTAGCATAAGCACTCAACAAATTACTTATAAGAACTGATGACAGAAGGAAAATGCAAACTCAAACCGTTCATCCCAAGGTCATATGTTATATCAGTAGTTGTCAGATGATTACATGGTCTAAACTGCAAGTTATAACCCCAAAAAGAGGCAATTTAGAAACAAAAAAGTTACGTAAGAAAGCCACGAAACACAGTAAGATTGAGTGTACAAAATGGGCAATATTTGTAAAATCACTCCCTCCCATCATTGCTTTTCAATTTAATTGACTTGCTGACATTAAAAACAAAAAAAATCTTGAAAAGTGGATAGAAAAGTCTTATCTTGAGGTTCAAATATAGCCTAGCTACATGAGCAGAGCAAAGTAAGTAGCCAGTATTCCATT